TTTTTTTTTTTTTTTTTCTTTTCTTCCCGTGAAGTTAGACGGAGCCGCTGCTTTGAAATTGGCACGCGGGATGATTTTAGCTATTCAAAGCCTGGCGGGAAGGAAGGAAAGTACGTTGCGTTCGACTCGCTGGCGCCAGCGTGACAAAAACTTTTCATAATCGGCTGTGTCTCCCCTCGTTTTTGACCTTCTGACATCGATGACTAGAAAATCCTCGAATTCCTGATGTTTTCTAATCTTTCTTCATGAATAATACCTGAATAACAGTGAATAATCATTAGAAATGTTTTAATTTCAATATTTGATTAATTTTGTTTTTTATCTTATAAAACAAGATAAGCATTATTTTTAATATTTTTCAGTATTTTTTATAATGTTCTTATATTGTATATATTACTATATAATAGTAATTTTTTTTATTAATATCTATTAAAAATTAGAGAAGAATATATAATACTAATTTTTTTTTTTTTTTGAATTTTGATAATAGTTTGATAATAGAGGAATTTTTAGAAAAGTATTTTTTTATGTAAATATATTTTAATATATTATCTTTTCTCTTTTTCTCTTCGTAGATGAAATGAGGATACATTACTAAAATTTCTTCAATGAACCTTCCAAGAAGGATGCTTCTTTATCACAAATTTGGTGAGGACCCTTTAGAACCTAATTTAGAAAGAATATGGCCTTAATGAATGGTCCCACCATTCAAACTTTCATTTCATACTTTATAAAAGTTAGTTTCCAATTTTTCCTTTTTTTTATTAAACATTATTGACTATTTTAAAAAAATAGAAACTAATGAAAAATGTAATATAAATAAGTATTGATTAAATAATAGAAGTAATGATTAAATAAATAAATAGAATACAAAATAAGTAAATAGATAAATAGAATAATTTTAGAATCTAATTTAAATTTTATATTTTTGTTATTAAAAAGAAAATAGCATATGATAATAGTTCACATTGGAAGGATTATACTAATATCGCCCTAACGTTCTTTTTCGAAAATAACGCTCGATGAAACCACATGGTTTCATAGAGAAAACATAGTTTAAACCTAGGGATGATGGAACGACGACGAAGAAGAGGATTCTCTTCATTAACACATACTTCATCAGTGGCTGTTAATGAATCACGTGTTCATATATCAGCTTTGAATGACTCTCGCTCTGTGTTTTTCCTAGCCTGTTAATTTATATCTCGAGAAAACTCCTCGCGGAGACCATTTTCGGTGTCCAAATAAAAAGGAGCCATGGTTCTGAGATCAACCCCTTTGACTTGCATAGTAGGTTATCCTACTTTGGCCAGGGGAAACCATTTTTTATGTAATGCTTTTAGAATCCATGTTATTCCTTTTTTTTCATAACTAAAAGCGGCTTCTTTGATGGGATTGATTTTTTCTTTTAATCTTTAAATTAGATCGTAACCATTCTAGGAATGGAGTTTCCATTTTGGATATTGCATAAAACACCATAACATTCAACCAATAGAAAGAGAAGATAACCCACCCTTTCCGTTTCAATGAGGAAACCGACATCAGAGTTGCCCTTTTCCACTTTCTTTTCATTAAACCGACGACATGCAGTCGCAGAGGGGCGGCGCTTTCGAATGGCAGCATCAAGGCGCAGACGCCTTCGGTTTCACACCGTGCTTCCGGTAAGAGTAGCCCATAGAATTCCTAAGGGGTGTCTAACGCCCTCGCGACACCAATCGTAAATTATTTGGGTTCTCATGCCCCGCTCCTTCTTAATTTATCTTATTCAAACCCGTGACGACCTCGATTCTAATTAAAAAAGTGAAACAATTGGTTGTTACAGATTTATGTTTTTGAATAATGTTAGATTTTAAGATTGAAGATAATATGCATTTTTTCTAGTATTTATTAATAATAATTTCTTTCTAAACGAATTATTTTTTCTTTCTTTTTCAGGTTTCAACTAGATCAATCATTTTCCCTATCAGAAATCTTTCCACTGTTCTGAAATAAACGGCAGACCGCGAAGGAGCTTCCATTTGCTTTTGCAAATGTGTTTACACGGCACTATATACTTCACCGGAATAATTCCTGGTGTCTTTTTGCTCTGTACGAAAACGAACGAGTTTTACTTGGCGCCTGTACCGCACCGGTATTGTGAGATCCGTGATTCCGTGGCATCGCCTGAGTAAATTCCATCCATTGGTGGGGGCGGCGGCCCTTACAATTTACTGTTTCCACGTTCCGATCTATTTTAATTATTTCTTCGCGGTTTGCCATGAAAAATTCCATAAATCTTCGTCCCTAAGGTAATTAGCGGGGATACTTTCGACTAGGCATAAATCCTGTAATTCCTTCCAGGAACCCCGGAACATTGACAACAGACGAGATGCACTGGAACTCCAGTGTTTCTCAAGCTTTAAATATTTTATAGAAAAATTGATTCATAATCTTCTTATAATTTTTTCAATAATGACAATTTGACAATTTATGAAAATAAGGAAAAATTTTAATTAATATATCATTTCAATTTCATTGGTTTATAGTTAATTATTATTTGATTGGTTTTTTAATAATAATTATAGAATGCGAGAATGCATTTAATATTCTTGTTTGAGAATTCTTGTAAAGATTTTTTAAATATTTTTTAGTCGTTTAAAGAATTTAGAAATATGATAAATTAGATGATAGCTCGTTAAACAAAAAAAATCAATTATTGAATGAAATCATCATTGAGAGACGCTGTATCGTAGTGTATCACTTGAAAAATGAAGGAACAGCGCGTAAATTGCTATTATAGAGGTTTGAACGCTTGTAGCGGTTCTTAATTCGTGAGGACATTTATTTGCTACACTTTGGTGCAATATAATTCGACGCGTTTCTGCTATTTTTACTGTTTTGTGATTCATTTACCCTACTATTAAAAAGAATTATTGCCTTCGAGATTTGAAACATGTTACCACACCAACACCGTTCTTTAATTTCTTCTTAACGATTAATTGTATTTTATTTTCAGAAGAATAGATATTTCTAATTTTTTCAATGCTATAATGAGTCCATTTATACGTTTCTTCATCTTTCGATATAGGAAAGTTAGTTTTATTTTATATATAATTTCTATTTTAAGAAATTTAAATTCTGTAAAATATTGTAGGTTGAAAAATATTGGAAGAAATTGTTTTTAAATGATGAAAATACATTTCATTGTCGAGAAGGAGGTAGCTGACTGAAGATAATAATCACCTTCCGTTCGTCGTAAATCTCTCCTTATGAACGATGGCGATAGGGTTTGCTCGCACAAAAATAGAGTTTTTTTCCTGGCCCTCGTAAAATATTTATATGCGCAAATAGTGGAGAGTCGAGTCGAAAATAGGGTTGGTCCGCGACTCGATGAAAAGAAGACATCGATAAGGTATCCATGGAATTAATTCCTCTTCCTTTTTATTTATCGTTTTACTATCAGAAATATCTCTTTGATCGATTTATGAAATTTTCTTAAGTAAAATAAGAAACAGTAATCTCGTAATCTTAATTTTGATCTTCAACTTTTCATTCTATCTCTTTTATTTTTTATTTTTCAGATATGTTTACTTATATTAAAAATTATATTAAAAAAGAAATAATTTTTCTCTTTTTATAAAAAAAAAAAAAGTCTAAGAATAACTTTAGAAATGACGTTTCTTATTTTGGGTTAAGATATGCTGACAAATTTAAATTGAAGAAAAAAGTGTGAAGTGCTTTGAAGATGATATTCGTGAGTTGCTTTCAGTATTGGATGAAGCTTTGAAATCTTTTCTGTGCAGATGTTAATGTCAGAGCGTCTGGGGAATCGAAGAGGTGACAAAATGAATCCTCCGGTTTTGATAGAGAAGTAGATCCATTACACTATCTCTCGAGAAGGTTGTTACTTTTGTTGGACAGCTGTTTCCTTTAAAAAAAAGTTGGTTTTACTGAAACGAACTCGAATTAATCAAAATGGACAAAGAAGTTTTTTAATTTTTTTTTTAGAATTATTTAATTGAGAAACTCATTGTGTAACAAAAATTTGAATACTTCCTGAGTTCTTTTTTTAATATTAGATTTTTTA